TTTTGTTTTAATATATCTAAGAATCTGGCTTTATTTGTCGCCGTACACTGTCCGCAAATAACACAAAAGATATTCGGATGGTTTTTGCAAGGACAGTGACTTGTAGTATTTGATACTACATCGGCCAAGTTTCTCACCGACGTAGAGCTACGGTCGCATGATAACGATGTTTGTGAGCCCGCTTTCCCACCCTGCCTAGCCTTGTCTCGTAATTTTTTTCTGTGAGGTTGCCATGACAGCACAAAAACCGCTACCCAAAGACTTTACCGGATAGTCAAACAACTTCGTTGTCCACCATCACCGCGTAGAAATGCTCTCGGTGCAGTAACACATATATTTTTATGTAATTTTTTTTGACCTCAGATTCGGATCCCCTGACCTTAAAAACATATGCATGATTTTTTCTAGATTTTTTCCATGCGTTTTTCTACATTGATCCTTGAATAATCTTTACCTTGACCTCATGGAATTTGCTTGACCTCAGATTCAGATTCTTTTACCTTAAAAACTTGTATGAATTTTTTCAGATCTTTCGAAATGTAAATGTCGACAACATCTCAAGTGACCTTGGAATAATCTACGAATGACCTTCATCTTAACCTCACAGACCTTAGCCGACCTCGTATTCATATTCTCTGAGATCAAAAACATATGCTTAATTTTTTCAGATTTTTTCATGGGTTTTGATGCACTTGATTCATTGTAATCAGCAACCCGAACAACTTCTTGCAGCCTATACTATGCGTGGTGCTGCATATCCCAAAGTACCGTTTATATAGGTATCGCGGACGGAATGCTAACTTTATTCCAGTTCAATATCCTTTCCTTTCTCATCATTGACCAAGTTCCGCGCGAAAGGCGACCTTGCTGACAACGACGAAGTTGTGACGTCGTGGCAATGACACAGCTCAGGTGTGCCTGAGGCTTAGCGCAGTCTCAGGGTTTCGATGTCACCAGAACTGCGATTTCTCGCCTAAACTGGCGTGGATCACTTGTCGAGAAATATTCTTAACCGAGGGGGATAGTGCCACAGAGCCTTCACTTCTGCCTTTAGATTCCGATCGAAAGTCGTAATCCTTGGGCGAGAAGCACCACGGGTCCTATCAATAGTAGTACCCGGGTTTTGCTATTAAAATTAATACCTGGAGCCTATCAAAAGTGGTCTCCAGATAATAAAAAAAAGAAAAAGGGAGGCGCGAGCTATTTCTTAAGTAGAAGAAAGAAAGATAAAAAAAGGAAATAAAAAATTGTTTCGTTTGCTTACTTTTTTTTTTATTGAATAATACGCCTTTTTCGGCCTGCGCGTCCTTATTTTAAATTGACTGATTTTCTTGTTTTCTCGTTCCGCTTAGCTGTTTGACTTTCTGCTCCTCATTGATAGCACTGCGTGATTTTTTCTCAACTCCCTTGATTTTTTTCTTGACACTGCCTCTCGAGGCTCGTATAGCTCTTTTTATACACTGGGGGTGGCTGGGTGGTAAGTCCCTCTCTTAGCGTCTTGGTTTCGGGAGGAGTAGAGCGAGCGATAATGCATTCATTGGCTCGTTTGTCTCTTCTCATTTTGCTCGCTGGGTTTTCGAACCCTAATTGGAGCGGGGGCGTGGAGAAAATCGGAGGACCGGACGCAAAGGTACAGGTCTTGGCTCGCGAGATGGCTCCTCGAGCACCGTTCTCAACCAAGATTTGCCCAATAAGTAGGTTTACAATAACTTAAAAATTATTTTTTGTATAAACTCGATAACTTACAAGTTACTTAGTACTAGGGACAATATGTAGGTTTTTTCCGCAATTACAGTTGAGTATAATTTGTATTGAAATAGAAAATAAAGTGTAATTTAGTATATCGCACGCTGTATTGTACAGATTCGTGGGTGGTTTATTAAATTATTCACTAATCATGCAATTCTATTTAAGTTTTAAACGGAGTATTAATACAAGAAAAAAACTTATGTAACTTAACAAGGCGATTATTTGCTAATTTCTTACAATAAAAATTCGTTTAACAACATAGTGCGCATATATAATTTTTTTTTTTATTTTCTCTGTTTTTCTTATTTTCTAGCTAATCCGTACTTCGGAGTGAGAACTCGATGAGAGGTTTGAGAGGTCATAATTATCCGGGATGTACTGCAAAAGTTAAATAATTACGTTTGGACAATTCTGAAATTTCATTTCAATGGTAAATTTTCGAGTATCTTAAAAGGAGGAAAAATCCGTTGGAAAAAGTAGCATACAGGATGCAGTCGCGGTTTTATAACTCTCTCCTCTCATCGACATGTTAACGCTTGTTAAACACGTGCAAGGGGGCTACGCGCTCTTTGCATGCGTGAGGGAACGCTGGCTCGGATGCAGTACGGATTTTATTGCTTTTCGAGGGAAATTCTTATCGCGACACTCATCCTGGTCCCCCTCGCTATTGAGCAATTGTTCTCGTTCCGTGCTTGGCTTAGATGCTACACAAAAAAAATATTCTTATAAAAATTAAAGTTTAAAAATGGTCCGCCGTCACAAAGTCATTGACGCGGATTCCTATATTCACGCGCATCGGGTCCAAAACTATCTAGCGTATGCGAATTGAAAAAATAGCGAATTTGATTATGTTACAAAAAGTGCCTTCTCGCATCGCAAAAAGATTTTTGTGAGCTCACATATGTTCGTTGTGCTGATTTAACATCGGTATGTCGGTACTCGTCCAAAGATTGATTCATCGATGATTAATGCGACCCAAAATGTCAGAATCTTGCTCAATCGCGTTCGCTAACCATTGGCTGTATCTCAATCATTTTTACAGAACTCCGGGTTCTACTGGAAATAAAGCAATTTTTTAGTGTCTCTGAGCCCATCGAAATATCCAAGAATCACCCAACTATTTAAAACTAAAACATGATCAAAAAAGACAATTTTGTTGTTACATCAAAGTTAATTTCATGCTATAACTGAAATAAAAATTTATCAACTTATTTTGTCTGTACTCGCTGAAGATGAAATGCATATCCATCATCTTTCATCAAACGTTGAATCGTGCTGTATGGACACCTCACCTATCGCCTCCTCAATTTGACGCGAAACCGCTCGCAAGCTATCGGTTGGGTTCGCGACGTAAGCTGCAAGATAGGCTCATGGAGGCGATCACGTTCTCGTAGCCAATCTTCATCGGGATACCGTGATGCTGCTCGTTTCCCTCAATCTGCGTACAGCAGCTTCGATGGTCCGATCATTAGAAGGAGAGAGGGGCGGATGATGTTCAAAGTGTCTGCTAGAAGCCGCGTTAGCATTTTCCTTAGCCTAGTCCATATACAATACCATATTTGTGTATTCTTCACTGGTATAAATTTGCTTAGCCATTTTATACCACGACCAAGAATAGCGGGCCAAAAATATTTGATAACTAACCCTATCAATAGTTACAAACAAATAATTAGCAAAGAAAAGAAGATTGCTATTTATTTGTTTATGACTATTGATGTTTGGTTGTTAGAGAGTACAGCCTCTATCCTGATCCTCGGACCATCGAAACTAGTTTATGGAGATGAAGAGAAATGGGTAGCGTTGTGGTGAGAAATTCTCATCTACAACGACAACGCGATCGCTTTCATGACCCCGTTACAGCTTTCGCCGCGGACAGATAACGTACGCAATGAATTTAAAAAAATTAATATTTATATTGTTATAACATAAGTATGTGTATGGATACGCACAAGAGGGTGCTTGCGTAAGCATAATTACAATACATATTAAGAACATTTATTTACTGTCTCAATATGTTAAACAGATTGTAAATAAACTAGGAGCAACGAAAAAGAATATGCACAAAGACTGAAAATTGAAAATTTTCGAGGTGTTTTCATACGTCATACTCTATTAGCCGATTCAATACCAAATATTGATAATAACAAATTTTACATCAAAGGTCAAGAAACAGTCAATTTATCGACTGATAATTACAAAATAAAAGATATTGAAAGCTTTCTCAAAAAAGCATTGTCAAAGATATATCGTTCAGTCTGAAACCAAGCAATAATAATTTAGGTAATGTCATTTAGTGTAGTCATAAAATAAATTTTAAACCAAAGGACTCTGTTGGATCAATTTTAGGCTTCCGTCGACGTCAACTTATTGCAAATAAACGTACAATTTTAACTTATCTGCGACTATTTTCAAAGACAACGCATTACGTATAGAGTATAATGTTACTACAGGTTATTACACAAGATCGCAAAGTACATACTATACGCGAATTTTTCTTAACAGTACCACCTGGATATAAGATCATAAAAGTGCTCTTTCACGTCATTTACCTTCCAGTCACTGTGAGGTGCATTGATCATTTACAAATATGTATTACAAGACGGCAACCTAGTTAACTTTAGAGGGAAAGTTATCACAGTGCAAATACACATAAAATCCATGTAGTAATGGACATCATTTACAATACAAGGGTTGGTCGAGGGTATATTAAGAGTTTAAAATGTCATTCAACGATCAGATAGTTACGTATAATAATTTTTATATTTTTCTATTATCAATATTAAATCAACTATTAAACTTATTTATAAATTTTGATTTAGTAACTATAAGAACGGATACTTATTAATTTATTTATAAATCAAATCTTATGAATTGAAACAGGGAAATCTAAAAAAAACTAAATTAAGTAGCATATTACAGAATGTTCAATGTATAATATTATATTATAAGAAAACTGAGCAAATAGAAAACTTCCCTTCGATACCTTTAGTGTAAAGAAGGATGAATCTCACTGTCCTCGCAGATCGATACATATTAATCTGAATTTATGAACATCGACGTATATTATAACAATTTATAATATAAAAATTAAAAACAGTAAAATAATTATAGGAAGACTCATCTCATACGTAATGGTGAATGCTTAAATGAGAGAGTGACAGCGTGATGTGGCACTTCGTTTCTACATTCTTTCCAGTATATTTCAACCATTGATGGATCCAATCGTTATATTCAGAATGATATATACTTACTTAAAGAGTACCATATCTGAGAGTTCGGTTTTTACACCATGTCTTTTTGAATCATATTCTACTATCATTGGCCGAATATGTGTTTCCTGCAATATAAATACCAAAATATTAAAATTCATATTTTTCAATTTTTACTATAAAAATTAAACTATATTTAAAATAATATTTAATTTACAGTATTTTCACTAAAGCTAACTCTATTTTTGTAAATTTATGAATTTATTTCATAGCTAGACATTACCATAATGAAAAAAGAGCAAATTCTAAATTAAACATGTTAACCTACACAAAAATCGTTAAAAATTTTTTGTTATTTTCCTGTTATAATCAAAATGAGTGCAAATGGATGCCTAATTTAAGTGATTGCGCATACACTATATTTATCTTACACAAATTATGTTACACGATAATATCGCAGGCACAATGATAAATCCAATGAATTTTTCTGAATACTTGATGGATTTAGAACCAAAAACTTCACAATTATACAATCGAGGCAGTGTTTTTTCCGATGCGCGAGCAGGGAACGAACTGCCTTATTACAGTTGAGCAAATCGATTGTTCTTGTTCTCAGTCCTACCTATTTATTTCCTCTTACAGTAGATTTCCGAGACCCAAGGGCTGTAGATGTCGCCTTTTACAGGCTTTTCCGTTTTCGACTGAATAATCAATTATTAATAATAATTTTATTAATAATACTTATAATCATTATTATAATAATAATATTATTAATCTTCACTTCGATATGGATAATGGTGGCATTTTACGATCCTATGACACAGACTTTTTCTTGAGTGAGAGGTCAAGGACTATTGTCCTCGATCTACAGATTTCAACAATGAAATCGGGGTATATTTTCACGATCTTCACAGAAACAGCGAAACATTCATCATCGACGATTATGGATATTTGCGCTTGATGAGTCTTGGTATAGCGACCTTTCATAAACCGTTCGATCATTAGTTTTGGTCGAATCGTTACAACCCAGTTATTCGTCTCATTAGGTTGCACGTTGCAATGACAACATTTTTTACACAATACAACTTAGACAGTTACATTTTTTTATAGTTCTCATTTACGCTCACATCTTATCGTTTGCTCGATGCTTCAATCTCCCGCATGCCCGTCCTTTATCCTTGCTGGCACGGCACTTGCTCTTGATATGAATAGCTCTGAATATTAAACTTATATTTACATTAACTTTACATTTCAAAATCATTTCATCTTTCTTTTCGAATTATAATCGAATTATAATTCGAATTATAATTTCGAAATATATCATGGTTATGTCATGAAGCTATCAAGCTTATATCTCTGGTAGTGTTGGTTATAACTTGTCATATTTCAGTTAATCGTCTTGAAATAACTAATGTAAGTAAAATTAATAGCTTTCTTGCAAAGAAATTAAAATTATTGTAGGTGATGCATATATTTAACTTCCAATAGAAAGAATAAAATATTACATTTTTTTTATATTTGATAAATTAGTTAGAATTTATCAGAGAGGGTCGTACAAAATAATCCCAAATGCCTCTTACATGTAATAGTGTATTCCGTTGTAAAAATCAAGCGAGATTGGACCTTGACACTAGTGGGCAATGAGATTAAACTTCATGTGTAGGTGTTAGAGCTCCACAACGATGGGTCATGATTGAAGAGGGCTCACCAATTAATTGCTAGGAACTATTCAGCGAAAGACTTCGATTTAGCAACTAATACTGAAGAGGATCCAACTTGACGCAGACAAAGTCAACAAGCATGGTCCACCTGGATGTTCCGAGCTGGAGCGGGCGAGAGTCGAAGAATCCCGAGGTCACTCTTAGCACCGATTAGTACCGAATTAAAGAAGATGATGAGGTACAACATAATTTGTTGAAGACTATCGGTAACATTGGGGCCCAAATATTGGACAAGAAGGAAAGCCCAACCATACAAGTGCAGTCCAGGTTTTCTCAAGACGAAAATTCAAAATTGTACTTCGTTCAATTACATATGAACAATTAAACCAAATTGATATATTATTAAAAATGATTCGACAGTTCGTTGAGCGAGGCTTTCACTAGTTTACCACACCTATCGAAACCCACTTGTTCGGGCTTGAGGATTAACCGACGATTTCATTGGAGTGGTCCGCCTGATCCACGCTAAAGAAGTAATGAGTGGTTATAGAGAAGGTGCAAAGATTGAGTGAACCTTCGTCAAACTGTTCAATAATCCATTGTATAGTAAAACGATGAAGAATGGGAGAAATCGGATCAACGTTAAGTTAATCAATAAGTTGTAAGGACGATATGGTGCCGAACCTCTTATTGCCACACTAAACTATCGTAGTAGCAATATTTTCGATGAAGATCTAATATCTGTGCAACTTAAAATACCAGAAATCACCTCACAGAGTGAAAAAACCTATTTACATTAGTCTTCTAGTATTAGACTTGTGTAATTGTCTAATTCTTTTGTATCATTTTTATTACGAATACATGCAAAGTGTTGTGGGTGATGAGCACCGTAAGCTTGTATACACCAATATGGATAGTTGGGTTTATGAGATAAGGAATGTAAACATTTACGAATTCATACACCGAGATATTAAAGATACACCTCGAACTTTCCTAAGCTAAATCCATTCAATATTCCTGGAGCCAATAAGAAGATAGTTAACAAAATAAAAAACAAAATGTCTGAACAAAATTGTTGGGCTTCAAAGCAAAATGTATAGTGTATATGATTGCACTCAGCTTATAAGACAACAAATGCTTCTTACTACCAGAGATAATCGAGTCAATATCTTGGCGACGTTACAGTATTCCCTTGATCTAAAAGGAGGGATTGGAATTTGTGGATATTGAAATCACTGAACCACCTATTATATAGAAACGTCTGCCACCGTCGTTCCCATTGCCGCAGAGTCGTGAGTGGTGGAACCACCTCAACCGATCGCAACAAAAACTAGCCAACAGTAGTCTTCTAACAAAATTCTGAGCCAACTCACTTCAGAAAAGAGAAAATTATTGGAAGATAACATCGTCACTGAAATTCCAATATTAACTAATTGAAAAAATATTAAAAAGAATAACAAATGTATAACGGAGAATCACAGCTTGCCGATTCATCCGTTGGCTCTCATTAACGGTTGTTCGCCACGTTCTAGCTAAGAGTGTGTGCGTATACACTGGTCATGTCTATTCCTCGGTTCGAAGTGCGATGGATGAGCTGATTGATGGAGCAAGGAGCGGCTGACGACTGAGGAGGAAGCAACATAGTAAGCGGTAGGAGTGCGAAAGCGGAAAAGAGCTAACGAGAGAGAAATTAAAGAGTCAGTGTCAACTAGGTTATTGGATCAGGCGTGTTGTCCATTTTTCAACAGTTTTTGGTTTGTTTTTGAACGTGGCTTCACTAGAATTTCTTTTTGAGGATACATATCGCCTGATGAGCGGAAAATATTTATTGGTTTTTGTTATGATTGGTGTCTGAGTCATGCCTAGCTGTGCCATATTTCGGCATCAATACGTATGAGTATCAGCGAGTGGCAGCAGCGAAGATAGTAGCGAGGAATCTCGGTGCCGTGTACACACACACACACACATTTCTCTTTCTTTCTCTTACATGTCCAAGAATGTCCAATAAAAACTTTGCCGGATTACGCATCAATCGTAATGGTCAGCCAAGATCGATGAGTTAAAGAGGAGGGTTATCAAGCAGATTACCAGTAATCCTTTTTATGGGTATTGTATGCTAAGAAGATATATATCCGCGCTCGCGCAGTTTCTGAATTAATTAACGAATGGATTTCGTTGATATAACTACTATCGACTAATTGTTTAGCTACAAGTAATTGAAGACGATCAACGAGCTTATTTTAATTATTAATTATTTATTGAATTAATAAAATTAATAATTCATATCAATATTGTTTCGAACAACCTTGTATATAAGTAATTCGACACCAATATTGAACTCTTTCTCTTCAGTATTAGATTTTTTGGTCATGTTACATAATAAACCAATGATGTTATTAAATATGTTGCTATTATATGTTCGTACATACTCATTTGGCCTCATTTCTTTTCTAGGTACGTTGCATACCTTAAAAAATTTTTTATCTTTTAAGATCGTTTTAAGTAATTATTTTTCTATTAGGCTGCTTTGTAATTCCATTAACCAATTTCTAAATCCAAAATCATTTGTTTTCAGGTATATCAACGTCCATACTATTCTTATCAAAAGTTTTTGTAGAGTTACCAAGCGTGCAAGCTACATTTTTTCTTTACGAATACCATAAATCAAATCCTGAAGTCACTTTTATAATACGTGTTGCATTTGAGATAAAGTTCGTTAGATGGCGTTGGAATGACTGATATGTGAGCGAGTGCGTCGTCTCGCCAGACGTTACTGAGACTCCGAGCAAGTGGGAGTTCAGCCGAGTACCCATTGTAATCTTTAGCCTTAGCTCTTTGAATAAAAGTAAAGCTTGATTAACTTGAAGTGTTGATCATCTATTTGCTGTACCCTGGACTCCATATATTACATGTTGGCGACGAGGCAAATTGGAAAAACGCGTGTGAGTGCTGAAAACGAAAGGTTTTTTTTTGTTCTCGCATTGTGTAACAAAGAAAAAGAACGTGTGTATGTATGCGGAAGGGTTTTCACATATACGAGTTGAACAAAGGAATCGACAAGATGAATCAGCAACGGTTGGCTGAGTGGCAAACGCAACTGAATACGGATAAAGCTAGGCTAGAAAAAATACAAACTATGCTGCAAAAAGATAAAGACAATTTGGATACTCGTAAAGCAGTGGTTAGCTGATGAAAAGTCAAGGCTAGAACAGTATAAAAAGAAGATTGATGCCGAGAAAGAGGCAAACGTTCAGCAAAAGGCGGCTGGTGCGCAGCATGTTCAAGCAGGAAATACGCATCAAGTGCAGCAGATACAGACTATAGTAAAAAGCACTATAGGAATATAAACGAATACAACCTTGAAAAAGAAGATTGGTCGTTATGGTTTGAACGTCTAGAAGAGTATTTCAAGTGCAATGATATACAGGATACAAAGAAGGTGTCAATTTTTTTTAACTATGATAGGC